CACCATCTATAACTGTATATTATCTATACACTATCTACCCCCACCTAATAACTATATGTATATCTGTAACGACATCTACAGCACCTAATAACTATATAGTATCTATAACACTATCTACACCACTAAACTGTATATTACACTATACACTATCTACACCATCGTATAACTATATATTATTCTATACACTAGACTACACCACCTCCTAACCTATATAGTTATCTAACACATCTACAACACCACCTATAACTATAATTATTACTATACACTATCTACACCACCTATAACTATATATTAGCTACTACACTATCCTAACACCACCTAATAACTATATATATCTATATCACTATCTATCACACGCTAACCTGTTATATTAGTCTATACACTAATCTAGAAAAAAAAAAAAACACGAAAAAAAAAAAAAAACACCATCTATAACTGAATATATCTATACACTATCTACACCACCTATAACTGTAATTGATTAATACACTATCTACACCAGCCTAAGAACGTACATTACTATACACATATCTAACACCACACCTATAGCTGTACTATATCTAAGTACACTATCTACACCACCTAAATATATAGTTATCTATACACCTTATCTCACCACACCTATAACTGTATATTATCTATAGCAACTATCTACCAGCCGATCTATAACTATATACAATTATCTATACACTAATCTACATCCACCTATAACTGAATATTATCTATACACTAATGCTACGACCGATCTATAACTGTATATATGCTATACGACTATCTATACCACCTCAAAACTGTACATTATCTATACACTATCTACACACCTATAATATATATATCTATAACACTATCTACAGCGGCCCCTCTATAACTATATATGTACTATAGCACTATCTACACCACCTATAACTATATTATTATCTAATACACTATCTCCACCCCTATAAATATAGTATGATCTATACACATCTACACTACCTTAACATGTATATTATCTATACACTATCTAACCACCTAGAACTATATACTATCTATACACTATACACGCAACCTATAACCGTAATATTAATCTATAGCACTATCTAGCACCAACCTATAAGGACTGTAGCCATTTATCTAGTATCACTACTACATCCGACCTATAACTGTACATTATCTATACACTATCTACACCACCTAAACTATATATTATCTATACCACTATCTACCACCTATAACTGTATATTATCTAACCACTATCTACACCATCTATAACTATATATTATTCTATACACTATCTAACACCACCCTATAACTGTAATATTATCTATACACTAATCTACACCATCTATAGAGCTGTGATATTAATCTATCTCACATTATCTACACCACTATAAATCTACACTTATCTATACACTATACAACCACCTATAACTATATATTGCAACTATAGCACATATCTACACCACCTATAACTGTATATTATCTATACACTATCTACACCACCTATAACTGTATATTATCTATACACTATCTACACCACCTATAACTGTATATTATCTATACACTATCTACACCACCTATAACTGTATATTATCTATACACTATCTACACCACCTATAACTGTACATTATCTATACACTATCTACACCGTACAGTTATAGGTATTATCTATACAAATATACAGTTATAGGTGGTGTAGATAGTGTATAGATAATATATAGTTATAGGTGGTGTAGATAGTGTATAGATAATATATAGTTATAGGTGGTGTAGATAGTGTATAGATAATATACAGTTATAGGTGGTGTAGATAGTGTATAGATAATATACAGTTATAGATGGTGTAGATAGTGTATAGATAATATACAGTTATAGGTGGTGTAGATAGCCACACCACCTATAACTGTATATTATCTATACACTATCTACACCACCTATAAACTATATATTATCTATACACTATCTACACCACCTAT